ATCATTAAAAGGATAAGCCTAAGCAATATAACTCGTATATATGACATCACGGATTGACTGTATGAAAAAGAAAGTAACTTAAATCGGTCAACTTGAAGAGGTTGTGATCTCCTGTTGACCGTTTTCAATACACAGAACCATTCCGAGATTCGTCGTCGAAGATGAGCGGCGGACCAGAAGATTCGATACCGGCCGGCTCACCAGGAGCTTTCCTTCAAGATGATCTGGCAATCCGAGAGCCAGAACCTTCGTTCCCTATGGAGATCGGTCCCGACGCTTCGGAAGGCTCTCCTTCAAGCTCCAACCCCGATGAGACGTTGTTCGATGACGAGATGAATACTGTTAACCCCGAGGCGGCTCTTCCGGATGAGATAACCGCGTTGAAATCACGAGCTACAACCAAGAAACGAGTGACCTTGCCCAAAGAAATCCTGGATCTCGGCAACGAAGCCCTCAGGGAGCATATCCGAGCCAACTCTAGAGAGCTGTACGGAGACGAAGCGAAAAGCAAACAAGTCGACGCCGTTGCTGCATTAGTGCATGACCGACATACGTTTGTTCTGGCGGGTACTGGATTTGGAAAAACCCGGATTGCTGAGATGTACCACAACCTGTTTCAACCCGATCAAAAGTCGATCGTTCTGGTCTTGAATCCTTTGGATTCACTGGGAGACAATCAGGTTTGTCTTGGTTTGTCTCTGTTGAAACAAGAACTAGACCTTCAAATCATCATCTGACATCCCTTCCTCTTACTTGAACTTGAAGGTGAATGAGAAAAAATCGGTGGGAGCTTCCCACAAGAAGATTTCAGCGGTCAACTTGAAAAAGGGTGTCTTGGACAAGACAATGGCTAAACAGATCATCGCTGGAGAGTTTGAATTTGTGTACCTGGTTTGTGATTGCTTTATGAAAAAATACAGATTAAAAATTACAAATGCAGCAAAAAACTGATTATTATGTCTTACTTTTTTTGAAACAGAGCCCAGAGGCATTGCTGAACAATCCCATCTTCCGTGACATCTACTTTGATACCAACTTCCAAAGTCGCCTGAGCCTAGTTGTTGTCGATGAAGCACATATGGTCTATGTATGGGGCCTGGTTGCCAGTGGTGAATCAAAGGGACTTAATTCACATTCAAGACATGGAGAACGCGGAGTCTTCCGGCCGGGGTATGGTGAACTAGCTGCTAGACTGATGGCGAATAACGGCACTCCTCTGCTAATGATGTCGGCGACCTGCCGCCCAATTGCAATCCGAAAAATTCTAGAATCATTCAAGCTGAACATGGACATGGTTGAGTTTGTTCGAGCTGAACTTACCAGGCCGGAAATTCGCATCTTGCGAATCAACATGAAATACTCCCTTGCATCTTCGGACGATCTTGCTGGTCTGTACAGCAGCCAAGAACAAACACCAGACTCCGAGATCATTCCAACTTTGATATATTCAACTACTAAAAACCTAACTGGACAAGTGCTTGAGGTCCTCAACCGCGCTCGAGAGTCACATCATGGAGAGGATGATCCCTTCAGCAAATTCGCTCGCCGATACCACTCTGCTACTGGAGATTTGGATAAAAGTGACGTCATCAACGATTTCACAAATGGCGTTTTCCCTGTTGTATCCTCCACCATGGCGCTTGGGTTGGGCCAAAACTGGAAAAGGGTTCGATCCGTCATCCATATGGGTCGAGGGGACCCAGCCTCCATATGTCAGATGCTGGGACGATGCGGACGAGACGGTAAGCCAGGCCTGGCTATAATGTTTGTCGAGCCGAATCGGAAGAATGGAAAGAACTGTGTTGCCGATTTCACCAACGTCAAATTCCAAAACGATGATGATAGAATGGATGCGTTAGCTATCACTCCAGTTTGTCTGCGAATAGCTTTTTCACTTGATAATTCGTGCGTTATTTGACAGGATAAATGAAGAAAACAAGAGGCTAATTGGATTTTTGATTCCAGGCTAGGATATGTTCCTTTGTCGGTTGACGATCCAAACTACAAGAAAGAAGCTGCACGTGAAACTGAGAAAGAATTTGCTGAATGCTTCTGCTCAAACTGTAAGCCCGAAAGCAGTCAATGGTTGATTAACAACATGAAGAGAGCCACGATCAAAAACTTCGATTCTCTTATATCGGACTTGCGTGAAGACATACCAGAGTTGAATCCAATCAGAAGATCCTGTAGTGTCCAAACCAACAAAGTTGTCTGGGTGGAGGAATCCGGCGAAAAACCCTTGGAAGAAAGTCTTGAGATGTTTTCAAAGGATTTAGTCGGCTACTTCAACAGATTATTCGAGTCGGTGATGAAAAACATGGCAACTTATCCACCTAGCGCCTACTTCTGCATCAAACAAGCTCGTCGAATTTCAAAAAACATTGGTCAACTTACCATTGACAACATCGAGGAATTGATTGGTGGTGAAATGTTGCCTGGTCAAATGTCAATGTTAATCAAGCACATCGAACTCTTCCGATCAGGTGAACTTTTCAAGTGTGTTGCGCAGCAACAAGAAGAAGCCGAAACTCGATTGAATTTGACGGCTGAACGTTTACGCCTAGCACGAGAGACCGAAGAGAACGAAAGGATCGAAAAACAGAAAGCAATTCATGTAGCCGCCGCATTGAAGAGAGCCGAGACAGCTGAAAGAGTGGCTAAAAATGCGGAACGTAAACGAGTTGCAAAGGAGGCAAAGTTTGTAGAAAGTGAAAAGAAACGAGCAAAGCGGGACAGTGACATGGCTATTCTTCAGGAACTCAAAGCTCAAGCACAGGCTGCAAGTGAATTATCTCGGTCTCAAGATGCTGTCGGGCCGACCCCCTCTACCAGTGGAGCAGTCAATGGATCGATTGATCCTTCATTACTTTAAATTTGTTTCATAAAAAAATATCAAAACCAATGTTAGAGCTCTGATGTTGAGCATACAATAATTATAAGGAAATACATATTTAAAATCAATTGTAATTTTGATTGTCATCCTGATGATTGTTATGATTGCTGGGTGAAAGATTGAGTAAGGTAGGTGAGTTTGTAACTGTAAAACCTGCCTCTAGATCCCATGATGGATTAAGTAGAGTAGTAGATGGCCGGAGACGTTTGAGAATTGATCCCCCTTTCAGCTGATCATCTCGCATAACTTCCATTCCCTCTTTCATCACATCCTGACTCTTTACTTTAGCCCTTTCCTCTTTCTACCAGTCCCTTTACCTTTTTCTGTGTCGTGTTTGGATCGAATTGCAAAGA